CTTCAATCAGACCAACCACAGTAAAATCTCCTTGGCAAGACATGTACACTGAAGGGGAAAGGTCTTTGCTATTTGAAATGACTTAATTTTTCCACGGGTACACACCTCTCAACTTTATCTTTCCTTTAGAAAGTGCAGTACTTTGTTCAAACTGTTTCACCCCTTCAAAACAAAGCCTCAATGCTGGAAATATGGGACTGTCATACACATTTATTTTCCTCAGGAATATGCTATACATATAGTCTTCCACCCTCTAGTTCAAAATGATTTATTCAATGAGAGTGTTATGAATATTTTAACCTTTCTCTTGGGAAATCATGATTGCTTTACAACTCTTCAACATCATTATTTTGTAATTTTTAAAATACACTGTGATGTTTAGAAGAATAAAGTAACCTTGTTAAAACATTATAGTCAAATCAGAAAACAGATGTTTTGTAGGGAGGCCAATTTTTAAGAGTAATTAAGAGCGGTAATTAAACACTATAAAACAAGAAAAATCCAAGGGAAAAATAGCAGAATATAAATATTACAAAAGGCCAAAATTATACTAAGAATCTTAGTTCCATAATTAGATCAAGGTGCATAAAATAATGGTAGCCATGAAAGTGATCTGAACTCTGCTGAACCAATCAAGCAATGTACCGAAGAAAGAGAAGAGAATGATTAAGGAAAGGTTGTTTGCAAGTGCTTTAGCCACTGAGGGCTAGATCTCAGTCTTGAACAGTGCAAATTATAAAATGACTGCTTAGCAGTCTGACAAATCTGTTTGAACTCTTGTCCACATAATATGAATTTAGTGACACATTAATTGTTTTACATGGCATCTCAAGCAAATGATAAAACTAGAAAATCCATACAAGATAATGTCATAGAGTTACAACAGGTTTGATTCCGAAAGATACCCTCATTATTTGTTTCTGTTTTTCCTGTACTTATTCTTTGCAATTTTATTCATTATTTAATAAATGAACTTGATTATATTTTGCATAGCTTGTCAGGTATACTGTTTTGAAATATTCCCAAGACATAGCACTCATTTTTGAAACAAAATAGACACAAAGAGTGCATTATTTCTTTTCTTTTACTTATGTGCAAAAATGTACACTGAAATTGTTCAGCAATTCCTATATAAAAATTGAATTAAAAGCATTTGTCAAAGAAACTGAAGAGAGAAACTGTTTTCATAAGGTTTATCCCAAGATTGCAATTTTTGATAAAATTTACCATACAGACACTGTGCTAGGAGTTTAAAAATATATGATTGATCTTTATGTGCTATGTGGGATTATAGACTAAAACCGAGAACCTACATAGCTAAATTAAAAAAATTTTTTTTTGAAACTGTCTTTGAAGGTTATAGGAAGGTTTCTCTTTTCCAATCTATGAAAGTATTTAGACTCTATTTTCTTTATTTGTTTATTTTTGTCTCCCAACATGTGGCTTCACAGTATGCTTGTTAGTGTGGAAAGATGTCTTTGATAAACTCTCTTTCACTGGTTTGAAGGGAGAGTCTTTAATTAAAAACCAAATGTAAACAATCTGTCTCTCAATATTTGAGGTGTGCTATACAGAAGGGCTTATAATTAGATTTCTAGCAAACTTGAAACATTATGCCATTATTTTCTAAAAGTGCTATATTCACCTACATTTTTTCTATTCATTTCAATATTTTTATGATCACAATATTTTATTATTCAATATTTTATTATTACAATATAATATTGAACTTTGAATGTTTTCAGCTGTGTCTAAATTTTTGCCTTTTATCTTTTTTCTCTTCAAGTATTTCTAAGGAAATAAATTTATAATCTTCTCCAATTCATAAAAGAAGAACTCTCATTTCCTGGATTAAAGAGAAGGCTTATAAATCTAAGTATAAAATACACATACACTTTCTTTACCATTGTTCAACACATTTAATATGGATTAACTATATGATCTGTGTTAAAATAACATGGGGCTATAAGTCCTGAATTAACCACTTTTCTTTTAAAACATTTTCGAGTTTAAAAATTTTAGTAGTACAAGATGAGACTCCCATTTAAACTACATACTTTTTCCACTGAAGGTTTGTTTTGTTTCATTTTGTTTTCTGATTTTTTTTAATTGCGTGGGTGTCACTGGCAATGAAACCCTCAGAAATGTTATTGCTTCTGGGGGCAGTACTATAAATGCTGATGAGTGAGGCCTGCACCTCCTCAGGCCGTTTACTCCAAGGCAACTGCTGCTACTTCAGCAGAACTTTCAAAATATGTTTTTGTTAATACATTTCTGCATTCGTTTACATCCTATGTTTGTAAATGTTAGCTGACATAACCCTTCTATGATTAAGAAGCTTTTGTGCTGAGACTACAAAAACAAAAGCTATAAAGTATTTGTCAGCTACTTACATGAAACATCAGCCACTTACCTTGGACGCATTTCCCAAATCCATGCCCCTTAACATTATTCCCAAAATGTTTATTGTATTTTGCAAGAGCCATTTTTGTGAGCCACAATATAAATTGCCTTCTAAAATGCTCTAGTTAAGTATACACTAGAAATGTTCTTCCCATTTTTTTAGTTAGGAAATTCAGTGACTTTTCCTCAGTTCTAGCCATTTTGAAATCTGAATAATACTACTCTCTGACAATAATTTTTACTTTCAAATAATGATTTTTATCTCTTTTCTTTCCTTTATCTTTTTGTGTTGTCAGTTGGTCAGTCAGAAATTTCCCGGCTCTCCCATTTTTCCAACCTAATTATGTACCTACCGTGTATGGTGTCATCCTATAATCAGTTTATTACTGCATCACAGCCCCAAACACTGAATTCTACAATGCTGACTTCTCACCACAATGCCTCCTACTCCTGAACATTTATTATCATCCTTAGGAAACTTCCTAAGATCTCGTGATGTATTTGTACTAAATGTCTGTCTGATTTTATGTCATAAGATAATGTCCTGTTGTCGTAGGAAGAGAAATTTGAGAACTGTCTTTATACATAATTTTGCTTAGACATTATGTAAATGATTAAATACCATGTGCTGAATCTAGCATTTCTCTGGTTTCTACATTGTGTTTTCTGTGTTCACATCTACCATCCTTAGCCAAGTGAGTATTTTTCTTCTTATAAGATCTGTTTTTCTGATAACCACACTCCGTATTTTTGTTCAAAATGTATTGGCAAGATTCAATTCGCTTTTTCTCAGTTCCACAATCATGGACACCCACTTTATCTGACACACCCTTGGAGTCAAGTGAATATGTGATTTCCCTGAGACACATGGTTAATAAGGGGAGAATGGGTTCCTGAAAAGAATCAAAGATTATTATAGTAGGGAAGAGGGATGAGATATATAGTTGGCAATCAAAAGTAGGCAATTTGGAGGTCTCACTCAAGATTATTGGAAAATTAAATTTAAGTGCATGGATTAAATAAAAAAATCAAACACTTAGCAAAGGTTTCCTAACTTTGTAAGCATTGTGGGCAGTGAATATGACCTTAAATGAGGAGTAGGCTTCTTAAATAATAACCTCTGGTAATTGAAACGAATGCAGTGTGATATTTTGTGAATCTGTACTAGGTTGTACAGAAAAATCAGGCAATTCACAAGTGCATTTGTGTAAAAATGTACTTCTTTATGAAACAGTGTAGCTTTTTTTGCCTGGAACCACTGACCTAAAGAAATAAAATGGCACTGTATATTTCTTTCTCACAAAGTTATGTGTTTTCATACAAATTAAATTCTCCTTTCCTTCACTTTTTCTAAGGGTATTGCTTAATACTATTGTTCAGTAAATTCTGGTTATTACTGATAATTTCGAGATTTGAGATTTACAAAGAGAACTTCACTAAACCTGAGTGTTCTTAGCTTTCAAACACTTCATTGTGATTCAGCATAGGCAATGCTGATGTACATGCCAATGCTTTCTTCCCTTAATATTTTTTATCTTGTGTCCATCACAGCCATATCATCACTTTGTCACCACCCTAATTTCCAAAGCACTTTCTCCTCCATATTCTTTGGAAATGGTGTTTTCACCAAATTTCAACCTTCACTGTACAGTGCATCTGCTGGTAACATATTGGCTGTACGTATATAGTAAAATACTTGTACTGGGACTTGCCAACCTATCTCAGATAAATACATAAAAGTTGGATAGGAAAGTCTTCCTAGAGTTGGTAGTGGACACTGGATATATGAATATGTGCATGCCTTGATAAAAGAACAAAATAAAACATAATTCTCAACAGTCTACAAAATGTCTTGAAGATGTTGAGACTGAAAGTATGCAGAAAGAATAGATTAGAGAAGAAAGATACCTGACAACTTAAAGAGAGCGGAAAAGAGAGATGTCTTCCTGAGAAGTGACAGTAGCCTGGAGTGAAGTCGTTTGGAACATAGTGAGAAATGGTTGACGTTGAAAAATTCTCTTGGTGCTTGGAAGTCATGGATGATGTCAGTCCAAGGTAACTGGTTGAGAATTATTTCTCATTTTCCTTAACTCTGGCTTTTTAAAGCCTGTAAATCAGTGACTCTTCACATGTAACTTTTTATTATCCATTGCATGTCTCCTTATCAGTCAACTAACTTAAATGTTCCTGTTCTACTGTGAAATATTTTCTTCTTGGTATTTTTTTTTCTTAAAGTCTGCTGTGTCTTACTCTCAGTAACTCTTCCACGTCGGTTGAACCCAATTTAACATTTCTTTGTCCCCATTCAACACTGTCAAACATTACCGTTGGCCAACAAACAGCTGAAGAATCATAGACATAATCATCCATGGACCTAGGATTCCACGGGGTGTAGCACAAATATTAATGAAGGAGAATCTATGACTATAATGGGAGAGTGGATTGCTTGGCAACATGGGTCAGATGGCTAGAAATTGTGACCTCAGGAAATTTTCAAAGGGAAAATAACCTCAAGAGAAATGTCAACTTAATCCTCTCGTTGCTTTGCTCTGCACAAAGGGAACAAAGATGAAATGCAAAGGGCTGGAGGCACTCACCGTCGACAATCCGGCAGACCGTCTTGTGGGTTCCTATTTAGTTACTTTGGATCCATCTTTGCCCTCTGTATTTTCTGAAGACTTTCTCTTCGGCATAGTGACCGTCGGGTCGGCGCCAAGGACTGCGACTGCCTGGGACTGCACGCCCCTGGACGCCACCCAGCGCCCCGCAGCTCCCGCACCACATAGTCACTATTAACAGAATAAAATGACTTGGAAAATGCAATTGACAGACACAGCGTTATATTTTAAGTTTTGTAAAATTCAAAAATAAATATCAGGAATGTGATTTGGTTGTCTAATACATTTTTAAATACGCTTAATTTTACTGATAGCCAGTTCAACTATTTTCCCAGTATCTGTTTTGTTAACTACAGTAATGGAATATAAAGTCAAATTGTTTAGCTTCAATTGTGGTACAAATCTTATCTCCAAAATTCATGTATTAAATAAAATATTTAATCTGGCTGTCAGTCTATGTTTTCATTTCAATCATTTAAACTACACTTTCAATTTAAAATAATTTTACTTTAATTTTATTCTATTATATGCTTTTAATATAGAAGGAGATATTTTATTCTGCAGAGCTACTTATTTACAGCACCCTTTATTATGTACTTCTTTATCTATTGAGTTTCTCTTAAATAACACTTGGTACGATAATAAGAGCTCTATACAGCAATAGAAGATCAGCTCCCAGCAAACATTTATGGACTCCTTAGAATTCAATTGGGATTGGAAAACCCTCACAAGGGAGTCTATCTCAGTGTTTTACAGGTTTTAAAAAGTTGTGCTCATTTTAAACAAAAAATAATGTTAAAAAGATTAATTTAGCAAATAATTGCATATTCATGATCATTAACTGAGTATAATCAAAAATTGTCCTGAAAACTTCTATGTCACTGTGTATAGATATAAATGCACACAGTAACACTTGCATTTTACATGTTTTACAGTTGAGGATATAGTTAGTTTAAACTAAAAATAATTACTTTAATATTTCAAAATAATTTTTATAGTGTATGTATTACATTTCTCCAAATTACTAATTGTAAAGATTACTTTAATATCCAAATATCTGCTATTGGAAACCCTAATGTTATTGAAATTTAATATTAAAAAAAATCTCGTAACATATGCAGCCTGGTGCAAAGGCATACAGATGGCTATGTTTTGAAAATTGATGAAATTGGAGAAATGTTCCAGATTGACAATAAAACGTGTTCATAGAATCATAACCAGTTTACTTCATTAGACAAATAGGAAAATGATGGTAGTTATGCTGAGAACTAAAACTTTCATTATTTTTTTTGCAGAGGATATAAATCAGTGAAACTATTTCATGTGCATTAACATTTATGTACATGAATCAGGATACGTGGTTTTATTATAATTTAAATCAGAAACATTTATGATTCTTCACTTTCTTACAAGTTATTTTGTAATGTGTCCATGTTTGTTGATCTTAGGTATTTTCTATAATCCTGAAAAAGTATACACTATTGTAAAGTTAATATTTCTTATACTTAAAAATATAATGTGTCTAGAGGTATTTAATGATTAAAAGTTTTATGACTTATTCATTAGGAAATGTGTAAAACAAAATACAGAAGATATCTTTAGGACTAGAAATTGTAGATTAGTTATGCTTTTCACTTTATGTTCATTTTTGCTTTGATATTGTTGGTGAATCCTCTTTTGTACTCCTGGACTAAAATACAGGAATCTTGGAATATTTGAGTATGGGCAATACTTTTATTTCCACCCAACTAAGTTTATCGATGCTAGACTTTTTCTTCCCATTATATACAACAAACATGTAAATAAAAATGTACAAAATAATGTGAAACACCCTTTTCACACATTGGGAAAAAGCCAGGGTAACTAAGATCATGGAAGGAAGTAATCAACATAGGTAAAAGCTCTTTCTTTCTATACGCACTGTTAAGATTGCAGAGCAAGCAGTTCTGGTGACAGGTCACAATGCAAGGAATCTAAAGAGACTGGAAGTTGAAAACAGTTATGGACAAGAGGGAGATACTCTGAGAAAGCTCAAGAATTTTAGAGTAAACATTGTGCTTGAAGCTGAATACCAGCAATAGCTTGTGTCAGGTAAATCTCTAACATGTCAATAAAAATGAACTATTGAATTAAGAGCAAGTAGTAAGGAAGTGTAGGGTGAAAAAAAAATTATCCTAGATCTTTCACAAGCTGGTGAGACAATGTGTTTGACCTGTCAAGGTGGAGAAATTTTGTTACCAACTAGAGACCAAAAGATAAGTAATGCAGTAGTGTTAATGGTACAGCTATTCTGTGGAGTGTGTAGGGTTTCTACGTCTAAGCAGATATCCTTTGCAAGTAGACATAACTTTAACTTTTACTTTTCAAATTTTATGCATTTTATTTGTTTATTTATTCATCCATTTATGGCTTTAAAACCAATAAATTCAAGAAGTCTGGAAGGGAAAAAATTAATATAAAATGAGTTTTACTTATATGTACTAGTGGAACAAGAAAGGAAATTAAGAAAACAGCTCAACTCATAATAGTACCATAAGAATTGAAAACTTAGGAAAAAATTTAATTAAGGCAAATGAATTGTTCCCAGACAACAACAAAACATAGACTAGAGAAAATAAAGACACATACATAGAAGGATACTTTATGTTTACCATTTGGAAATCAATGTTGTTTTAATCTCCAACTTTTCCAAAATAATCTACAGGTTCAGTGAAATACCTAAGACTCAATGGAATGTTTTATAGAAATAGTCAAATAAATCTTAAAGATCTATGAAACTACAAAGGAATATTAATACCCCATACAAATTTCAAAAACAACAAAGCCAGAGCCATCACATTTTGTGATTTCACAGTATATTAAGAGCCTATAGTAATTTCAATGATATAGTACTCAATGAATAGCATAATAAAATATGGAAGGACTCAGTGAAAAAATTATGCACACACAGTTAACAAATCTTCAAAAAAAATGCCAAGAATACTCAATGGAAAAATAGAATCTGAAGAATATATCTGGCTGGGTCTATGGCTCAGTGGTAGAGCTCTTGCCTAGCATGCATAAGGCTCTGTGTTCCATCCCCAGCACCACAAGAAAAAATAAAAAGAATAAGATCCTTATGTTGTATAGTAGTCCATCTCTTTTGAAAAGGAGTTTAAAGCATTTATGCAAGACTTTAAAGTGTAAAATTCCTAAAGCAACATATAGGAAAAGAATTTCTTGACTTGGGTCTTAGCAATGGTTCTTTGACTATAATGCAAAAATGCACTCAACAAAAGTAAAAATAAATGAAGCACACACTAATGGAGCACACCAAAGCAAAAATTTGCACTGTGGCAAGACAACTGAATAGTACAGAATAGTTGCAAATCACATAGGTGACAAGAGTAAATGTCTAAAACATTTAACAAATACCTATAACTCAGTAACAAACAACACCAACAACAAATACCCCAGTTTAAAAATTGAACTGCCTGGGTGTGTTGGTGCATGCCTGTAATCCCAGTACTTGGGAGGGTAAGGCAGGAGGAGTACCTTGAGATCAAGGCCAACCTGGGCTACACAAAAAGTCCAAGGCCAGCCTAAGCTCTATAGCGAGACTCTGTCTCAAAAATTGATTAATTAATTAATTAAAATTAAAAATTAAAATTAAGCAGAGGATTAAACAGACTTCTCCAGAGATAGTATACAAAAGGTCAACAGCGGTATAAAAAATGTTTAATCTCACTAATGATCAAGAAAAATCAAGTGAAAGCAATGAGATACTTAGTCACACCTATTAGACTGTTTTATATCATTTATATAGAGAAAATCGATAAATGTTGGTGAAGAGTTGGAGAAATTGAAATCTTTGTGTTGTGTTGGTGGGAGTTTAAAACAAAACAACTCCTATGGTAAAGAATACAGAGGTTCCTAAAAATTAAAACAGAAATACTATATGATGGGGCTCCTTCTCAGGATATATCCAAAGCATCTGAAATTAGGAGCTCAAGTAGATATGTGGTCCTCACTATCATTGCAGGATTAATCACATGAACCAAGATATAGAAACAACCTAATATTCATTTATGGGTAAGTGGATCTTTATTTTTTAAAAGTGGTATGTACCTAATGATGGAATATTATTCAGCATTTCAATGGAAGAGAATCAGTCCTATGATGTGCTAAAATATAGATAAACTTTGAGGATATTATGCTAAATAAAATAAATTACTCACGAATGAAAGGTACTATATGCTGCCAATTTTATTTGGTATGTAAAACAGTCGAACTCACAGAAGTAGAGAATACAATAGCTGCTGTCAGAGATTAGAAGGAGGAAGTGGACCACTGGTATTCAGTAGATATAATGGTTCAGTTAGAGAAGATGAGTCAGTTCTGGAAATCTGCTATACAACTTCCCGCCTAGAGTTGACATTACTGTATTCCACTTTTAAAATTTTCAGAAAAGGATAAATTTCACATTACATTCTCTTGCCACAATAAAAAGTTAGTGTCATTATAAACACACCTGAAGAACTCTGAAAATCAAACTTCACAAAATCAGATAGGAAAATCTCTCTAGGTTGATTAACAAAATGATGGTGAATGGCATATCACTTTCTCACCAAAATTTTAAATAAGGGGACTTTGTTGTCTTTCTAAACTTCTGGTCAGCTTGGTACTGTCGGCCTTTAGCAGGGTGTAGATGAAATAGGAAAAACATACCTAAAATATGTATTTTTGAGCATCTATCTTTACCTGTGCTATTTTTGTTTTGTAGAAAATACTATGTGATATACAGACATCTACTTACAAGTGAATTTAACATGTATGCAGTGTTAAGGGTATATATTAAAAACCAAACTGGAATTCCATTTTAATGTCCTAATAATGAACAATTGGAAACCAAATCAAAATTTATCACTGAAATAATACTAAAAATGTGAAGCTCTAATAAAAATGTATAATATGTGAAAGTTACTGAAAGAAACTGAAGGTTATAAATGAAAATTAATGAAATGAAATATTCATGAATTGAAAGGCCAGCAAAAATTTAAAATGATTTTTGATGTAAAGGTAATAAGGAAGAAAATATATTAGTATAATTGAAGGGAACAAGTTTGAAATTGACACACTAGTACTACTCTTTATAACAACAGATCTGTTTCCATTATTGAGATTAAGTCCTA